ATCTTACCCAATAATCACACTGTTGCCAATCCTTCAGTATCTAATATCTAAAGGTTTATTTATTAAAAGAAAAAGAAAGAAAGGTAGGTAGGTGAGGGTTAAAACTGGTTAAAGGAATCAAATACATAAAACAATTGCAAAGTTCTTGGATCAGGCTTGTAGCAGTGATAGAATAAACTGCTGGCTTGTTAATTCTCTGGTTGCTTCCAAATCATTGGTAAGTCCCAGTCCTTTGGTTAGAATGCTCCCATTATTATAAGTTCATAGTCCAGAGGATTGAGCAGGAAAGAGGCAAAATGGAGATGTTTCCAAGGCCTTTTTATAGCTTCTGCCAAGCGAAGGGAAACCCATTGTTCTCACTGTGGAAAATTACAAGTAACAAGATGGTGTTTGGAGTCACATGGGCAAGTCACATGTCCATGCATGCTTAGTTGTAGCAGAGGCCATATTCCATATTCACAGGAAAGACCATTAAGTGGAGAGTGGTCAGTTTGGATGAGCTATTACCAGCAGGAGAGTGAGTTTGTGTGTGTATGGGGGTGGGGGTGTGTGTGAGAGAACCTGGATTTGTGCAGGAAATGGCCCAACTTGATGATCATGCACATTGTGTAAAGAGTTGTCACTTTGGATGGGCTATCACCAGCAGGAGAGTGAATTTGTGTGGGGGGGTGGAGGGTGAGAAAACCTGGATTTGTGCTGGAAATGGCCCAACCTGATGATCACTTTAGATAAGCTATTACCAGCAGGACAGTGGGGTGGGAGGAGGTATTGTTTCATATTCTCTGTGTGTATATAAAGTCTGCTGCAGTTTCCACGGTATGCATCCGATGAAGTGAGCTGTAGCTCACGAAAGCTCATGCTCAAATAAATTGGTTAGTCTCTAAGGTGCCACAAGTACTCCTTTTCTTTTTGCGAATACAGACTAACACGGCTGTTACTCTGAAACCTAAGTGTAGATAGGTTTCTCCCATGCTCCATTGTGACTTAAGTGTTCTTTGATGGGCCATTCAACTTGAATAGTTCCTTCACAATGTCCTGGCTAAATACCTTGTGGGTGCTACCACAGGAGCAATCATTTGAAATACAGGTACAGAGTTAATATTCATAACTTCAGATACAAAAATGATGCATGCATTCAAATAGCATAATCATATTCAGCAAATTATAACTTTTCCATAGACACCTTACTTGATATACTTTGTACAAGATTTGTTGCAATTATATAACTGTGGGAACAACAATGATCTACATGGTAATATTTTAATCAGATAATGTCACAATCCCCTTTCTATTACTCCAGTTTACAAGGTCATCCAGATCTTCTTTTATGAGATTCCAGTCCTCGTCCATACTGGCTATACCTCCCAATGTTGTGTCATCCGCAAATTTTATTAGCACACTCTCACTTTTTGTGCCAAGGTCAGTTAAATAAGATTGGTCCCAAGACCGATCCCTGAGGAACTCCACTAATAAGCTCCCTCCAGCCTGACAGTTCAGCTTTCAGTATGATCCATTGTAGTCAGTAACCAGTTCTTTATCCACCTTTCAATTCTTATATTAATCTCCATCTTCACCAATTTAACTAATAATTTCCCATATGGAACTGTATTGAATGCCTTACTGAAATCCAGGTAGATTAGATCTATTGCATTTCCTTTGTCTAAAAAATCAGTTATCGTCTCAAAGGAGATCAGGTTGGTCTGGCAAAATCTACCTTTTGTAAAATCTTGTTGTATTTTATCCCAATTACCATTCACCTCTGTGTCCTTAACTACTTTCTCTTCAAAATTTGTTCCAAGACCTTGCATAGACTTGAGGTCAAACTAACAGGCCTGTAGTTTCCTAGATCACTTTTTGTTCCCTTTCTTAAAAATAAAAACTATATTAGCAATTCTCCAGTCATAGGGTATGACCTCCCAAGTTTACAGATTCATTAAAAATTCTTGCTATTTGTATTCTTCCAGTACAATTTAAAACAAACAAAAAGGCAGTATTTCTTCACCCTATGCACAGTCAAGCTGTGGAACTCTTTGCCAGAGGATGTTGTGAAGGCCAAGACTAGTAGGGTTCAAAAAGGAACTAGATAAATTCATGGAGGATAGGTCCATCAATGGCTATTAGCCAGAATGAACAGGGATGGTGTCCCTAGCCTCTGTTTGTCAGAAGCTGGGAATGGGTGATAGATCACTTACCTGTTTTGTTCAGTCCTTCTGGGGTACCTGGCAGCGGCCACTGTCGGAAGACAGGATACTGGGCTAGATAAACCTTTGGTCTGACCCAGTTTGGCCATTCTTATGTTCTTACAATTCCATGTGCCAGTTCCTTTAATATTCTTGGATGAGGATTATCCAGCCTCCCCACCCCCCATTTAATCCCATTAAACTGTTTGAATTTGACTTCTACCTCAGATGTGGGAATTTCTACCTCCGTACCCTTGCTACTATTAGCGACCCTGCCACTACCTATAAGCTCTTGATTAGCCTCATTAAAAACGGAGGCAAATTATTTGTTTAGGTGTTGGGCCATGACTACATACTTTTTAATCTCCACCCCATCATCAGCACTTAGTGGTCCCACTTATTTTCTTCTTATTTATACAGCTATAGAACCTTTACTATGGGTTTAATTCCCTTTGCAAGGTCCAACTCTGCTTGGCTTTTGGCAGTTCTCACTTTATCCCTACACTTTCTGACCTCCCTGCTGATCCCTTCCATCTCCCATTCCTTGTAGGGTTTCTGCTTTTGCTTAATCACCTGTTTGAGATGCTTTGCTCATCCAGCTTGGTCTGCTACCCTTCCCTATGAATTTTTTCCCCTTGCTTGGGATGAAGGCTTCAGATAGCTTCTGCAACTTTGACTAAGTAATTCCAAGCCTCCTCCACATTTAGATCTTGAGTTCTTTGGTCCAGTCCACTTCCCTAATTCCCTTCATTTATTAAAAAGTTAGCTCTTTTGAAATCAAGGACCCTTGTTGCAGATCTATTTTTGTTTATCCTTCCATTTAAACTGAATTAACTCATGATCACTCAAACCAAAGTTGTTCTCTACAGCCAGTTCTTCTCTGAGGTCCTCATTACTCACCAATACCAAATCTAAAATGGCCCTTTATGAGTAGCATTTGTCCACCAATCTACATCTGTGAGGTTAAAAGTCTCACAAAAATCACATAATTCCCAGTAGTATTTATTTCATTAAAAACATTAAAGAGCATTTGGTTTTTCTTCCCTCCATGTTGCACCTTACATTTGTCTTCACTGAATTTCATTTGGTTGTCTATAGTCCAGTTCCCCAGTTTATCAAGATTCCTTTGAATTTGAGCTCTATCCTCCAAAGTGTTTGCAAACCTGTCCTCCCCCCTCCCGCAGCTTTGTGTCATCTGCAAATTTGATCAGGATGCTCTCTATTCCTACATCCAGGTCATTAATAAAGATGTGAAAATAATACCAGACCCAGAACAGATCCCTGTGGAACCCCACTTGAGACCTCTGACCAATCTGACATCCTTCCATTCATAGTGACTCATTGTTTGTGGTTGTTTAACCAATTATGTATCCATTTAATAATAGCTCCACTGAGACTGTATTTCTCCAGCTTACTTATCAGAATGTCACATAGGACTATGGCAAAAGCCTTGCTAAATTCAAGGTATATTATGTCTGTCATATTCCCTCTATCCACTAAACCAGTTACTATGTCAAAGAATGGTTTCAGAGTAGCAGCCGTGTTAGTCTGTATTTGCAAAAAGGAGTACTTGTGGCACCTTAGAGACGAACAAATTTATTTGAGCATAAGCTTTCGTGAGCTACAGCTCACTTCATCGGAATGCATCCAGGGAAGTGAATTTGTTCATCTCTAAGGTGCCACAAGTACTCCTTTTCTTCTTATGTCAAAGAAGGAAATCAAACTGGTTTGGCTAGATTTGTTCTTAGTAAATGCATGCTGGCGCCTTGTGATCACCCCTTCATCCTCCACGCATCTGCTACACTGCTCCGGTAGCTTCCCAGGTATTGAGGTCAGGCTGAGGGAGCTGTCGTTCACCAACTCCTCCTTTTTCCTATCTTTAAAGATGGGCACGTTAGCCCTTCCCCAGTCCTCCAGGACCTCTCCTGTCATCCATGAATTTGCAAATATTGCCCATGGTGCCAACATTTCTTCAGCTAATTCCTCCAGCAGCCTGGGGTGAATACATGAAGCCCTGCTGGCTTGAACAGGTGTAGAGCAGTACTATCACCCTAGGCCTCTGTTAATGCAACTCAAAATTGGTTTCGGTTTTTTTGCAACAGTATTACAAGATGATGCATTTCATTGTAGCAAGAGCTCTTTATGAATGAAATGATGCAGGAGGCCTAGCACACAAGGAAAACACCCAGCTTCTGCTGGCTAGCTACTCAGGACAGTGGGCTCGGGAAGGGAAATGTAGTATAGCTGCAGTCATTAAGTCTATGAATCATCTTATCTACAGGCTAAAAACCTAGCATTGTGGACTGGTATGCAAGTTGTAACAGGGACTGTGGTAGTGATAAGGAAAATTGTGCAGGTGGCCCGTCTATTACCTTGGGTTGAGAAAGATCCCTTCCTTTATATAAGCCCCCTGCACAAGTCTTGACATTTCTGTAGGGCACTACAATTCTCCCATTTGGTAAATAAACCAGCCACAGCTCATATTTTATCACCACACATTACTGCTGAATCTGAATGATCACAGAAGTTACAGAATGGTTTAAGTGTAGAAATCATTTGGAAGGGAAAAAAAAAAACTTGTGATCAATAAGGAAAATCATGGTGCCTTTACAATCTGTTCAAAGACACAGTAGCCAAGATGAAGGGTAGTGGGCAGCATAGGAAACTCTAGATGGCACAGATTAAAGATCTCAAGGATCCAAAAAAAGGACATTGGTAGTTCACTTCACCCCTTCTCTAAGTGTATTTACAGTACTTCTAAGAAAGGAGAAGAGTAGACACTTCAGAAGTTCTGCAGGAATAAGAGAGGGACTGCAAATATTCTGAGTCACTACGCTTTACAACAAAACAGACCGTCAAGAGTCATTGCATGTATAAGCATGCAGTGCATTAGCGACAAAGCAGTACAATTTTGGCAGTTATAAGTGTTATACAAAAAAGCAACCATAACTTTTAATATGGTGAGTTAGGTCTATTTGTTAAACATATTTTCAAGCAGAAACAATTACATAAGAAAATAAAGGAAAAGCTGCTGATCAATACCAACAATAGTCTTACTGACTTAAAAAAGTGGCTTACACCTTTGAAGGGCTAGGTAACATTGCCACAACTGGAGCGTAAAGGACAAACTCAAATCAGATCAGAGATGTGAAACTTACTGTAAGCAAGAGAAAGAATTTACCCCAGATAACACAGAGAAGTATAACTTCTGTTAAGAACCTGCAGTTATCTACCACTGTAGATGTACTTTCCCTACATTTTAACATATAGCTTTTCCAAAAAAAACCTGTTTTTTTTCTAAGTCTGCTTTCTCAAACAACACAACTGTGCTAGGTGCAAAAATTGTCTACAATAGACAGCATGTTTATATGAATGATTTCTAAATCAGTAGGTATTTAGGAAAACAAAATTATCCTTTTTCCCCTCCATCTTAAGCGCCGAGTATCCAGATCATGGTCATTATGGTAGCGATGCTGAAGCCTGCTGTACTAATCATTGTGGTTGGACTCCTGTTACACAGGTCTTTTTGGCAACATCTGAAATTAAAGCTGTCAAACTTGTAATCCTCTTTAATTTGGTTCATGTTGCAGTTGGAATATGTATAGCAATGAGACAGTGTCTTTTCACCTTTAAAAAAAAAATTAAAAAGTTATGCAAAATTACTAGCTTCCCTGTAGAGAAAACCGTTTCACAAGGGTATTCAAAGATACATTAGATATTCACAGGGATTTCCCCACCTTGGTTTTTGTTACAATAGAATGCTCTTGTGAGCTGTTTGGGACATAGCAGGTAGAGCTGAATCCAAATCAGAACTTATATAAGAATCTGAATTTCACAGCTGGACTCATTTCAATAGATGGCCATAACTAACTAACTAACTAACTAACACACACACACACACTTCCCTGAATTTTGTAGCTCTGGCTCATTTCTCATCCCAAGCACTGCAATCTGCAGGCAAACGGCTCTTATATATTACAATATAAAACCAGCACCAGTGCCCAACCTGACCAAATGGGATCAGCTATGAAATTTAGGTCCTAGTTCCTGGAATGCTGGTTTGCACTCATCTCTACCTGGAATGCAAAGCAGGGGACAATGCTGGCAGTCATAGAGTAGAAGCCTAAATTCAGTTTCCAAATTGGACTGTACTGAAAATGAAAGTGCTGCGTACTTCTCAGTCATGGCATAAAGAAGCAACGTATACCCCAACCCTAAGTCAGTGAACTGGAGACTGTTGGCCTCCCAGCTGGCAGTGCGATTTCTTCCTTTTACAAGTTTCCCCACACACCCACCAGTCAGGCAACAGAGCAGTTTGTTGGCTGCCTAACTGCACAATAGGATCTCTTTTTAAACTATAAAACTATGTCCCCACAGTTGTGTTGGAACATCCATAGTTGTAACAGTTCAAACTGTATTAATGCACACAATCCTACATAAAGCTGAAGGCGCCAACAAGGACTTCAGTAAGAGTACTTCAGATGGACATTCATACAGACTGTGGAAATAAAACCTATTTGATTACATTGGAATAATTAAAATTGAATGAATATAGATTTACTATATTTATTTTAAGTCTACAACATTTGGGATCGTAAACATACCAGTTTTAAGCCATAGGCAAGAATCTAAGCCATTTCTGCAGGTAATATTGGTCTTACATGGCACAGCAGTAAGTGGACAGTCATAACACTTCAGCATATATCCTGAGAGAGAGAGAGAGAGAAGCCAGTTACTAAGTAATAAACTTTCTTCTTGTACATTTGATGTTCTGAAATAAGTAACTTTTCAGGATTATTGTTAGGTCAAAACAGTTATAAATCCCTGAACCATAACCTCATGATAATCTGGTTTAAGTACTGCAACTTTTAGGTCAAACCACCTAATGCTTTAGTATTCTGATTCTGATCCCCACAGGCGAAGTCAAACTCAGCTCCTAATGCATCCACAAGAGTCCAGGGAGATAGATTTACATAACTGTACTGCTTCCTGCTCCAAACAGCCTGAGTTGCAGCAGTTGGCAGGGACTTTCCTCAGGACCATCTATACCTGCATATTTGCACAGCAGCAGCAGAGCTACTTGGGTCTGATGCTAGGCTCATAATTTTCCCTTTAATGTAGGCACTCCAGGATACCTACCAGAACTGCAAAACACAGCCATAATAATGAAGACAGTGAGCAGGACACGGTTTGTTTTGTTCCGATTCATGTTTCTTCCCAGATCTGGAAGCAAGAGAACAATCATGAGTTAGGACTAAACTCCTTAGCTCGAAATATTTAATGTCAGGAAAAGATTTACAAAACCATCCGTTATAACGGCAATAGGACTTGGAGATTCGAGATGGGGACCAAGGTGCCAAAGTGGAGACAGTGATGCTCCCATACCTCACTGAGATGTTGGGGAAATAAATTCAATAATGTGTGCGAGGCATTGGATATTACAGTGATGTGGGCTATACAAAATACCTATGATAGTATTGTCAAGGATCCTGAATGTTTGTTCTAATTATGTGGCCCCCCATGACAGATACAGAATCCCAGCTCTCACTAATAAAAAGTTAGTTTATCCTAGGATGACCAGATGTTCTGATTTTATAGGGACTGTCCTGATATTAGGGGTATCTTACATAGGACCCTATTCCTCCCCCCCCTCCATTCCTGATTTTTTACACTTGCTATCAGGCTGTGAAGAAAACATTCAAAATGTGAACCAAGTGCAAACCAAAGCAATTAAGTCTACCAAGGACTGCAGGCAGCCTGTCATGGCAAGTTTTCCATCTCCATTCATTTCACTGAATTCTAAAGCCTAATGATGTTAGTTAACATTGATACTTAAAGTATTTCACTGCTGATCATTTTAGCAGAAGTGCAAGTGGATAGGCGCAAAGCTCACAGGGGAAGACTGGAAGTTGCAGAAGGGAAAGGAGGCTGAAGAAAGGAGAAGATGGAGAAGGAATAAAAATAATGAAAAGATAGAAACAGCAGTGGTCCTCAAGGGCAGCATGTTTGCCATCACTCAGTTGTGAGGCAGCAATAAGGCACTTAAACAGTAAAATATAGTAACTAGAAAGTTAGCTACTACACAAGAGCCATATCCTACTGTAGTAGGCCTGGCTGCTTCCCTGAGCATCCTCTGGGGGCCAGTCTGCGGCGCTCTGCTTTTGTTTTTTCTTTTTCCCTTTAATATACTCAAACATACTTTATCCATTTCCATCCCTTCTTGGGTTCTGCTTTATTAACTTAACCTTCAAAATTGATTCCCTTTACTTTTGTATTGGACATCACTTAACTACTCTGTGTCTCAGCTTCCCCAACTGTAAAATGGGGACAATCTCTACCACTCAGGGGAGGGATGTTTTTGGGGTTAACAAACAGTTACTAAGGAGCTTTACTTCCTACATATTATTTTATTTGACAACTGGCATACAGCAGGTAACTAGGAAATGAACACAGATCATTCTGTTGCTATGGGACAGGCCACATTTTACTGACTTCTCTGTCCTTTGTGAGGCACTGAAATCAAAAATAAAAGACTTGCAGCACATTCCTGCCTGCCAGCAGACCTCCAAGTTCTTATACACTAAGAACAGCAGCATTTATACAGCAGTAGCCTTTGGACTTCTATCACTTTAGCCTTTGTAATGTCACGTTAAAGTCTATGAAAAGATGACACATCCTCTAAGGACAGAATGGGCCATTTTGATCAGCTAGTGCATAACACAAGCTACAGAATTTTACCCAGTAATTAGTGTAGTGGAGATAATTATTCTTCCTAACCTGCCTCTCTCTACTGCTTGGAGCAAAGGGAGAGGGGGTGGAGGACTCAAAGCTGAAGCAGAACCATCTCCTCCCACACCAGCTAGCCATCAGCACTCCTTGTTCTGTGGTACACCTCCCCAGAATGTGGTGCAGCAAAAGGGGAACTGCTGGCTCTGTTGTCAAGTCCAGTAACTTGTAGTTAAACTACAGCATCTGCATTTAAGGAATCCAAATGACCACTTCCCTTAGTAATTCATTCCAGCGGTTGATGACTCATTTAAGAAGTTGTGTCATTTTGAATTTTTTCCACTTCAGATTTCTTGTCATTGGATTTTGTTAGACTTTTTGTCTGCTACATTAAGGAGCCCCTTCATATCGTCTCCTTGTGTAGAAACTTGCAGACTATGATAAAGTCAAAACTTAACCTTCTCTTTGATGAGATAAACAGATTGAATTTCTGAAGACTCTCATTGTAAGATGTGTTTTCCAGAACTCATTTTTTCTAGTTCTTCTCTGATCTCTCTAATTTTTCAATGCTTCTTGAAGTGTGGAGAGCAGAACTAGATGCAGTCACCCAGTAATGGTCTCACCCATGTCCTATATAGAGATGCTATCTCCCTATTCTTGCTTGATAATCCTTGGATGTGTAAAGAGAGAACTTGGTTAACCCTTCCGCCCACTGTATCACATTGGGACCTCACAGTCACTTAGTCATCTACAATGATTCCTGAGTTCTTTTCACAGAATCACGGCTTTGTGGGATAGTCCCCCATCTTTTAAGTATGGCCTACATTCTTTATCCCTACACATATGACGTCTCACTTGGCAATACTTCAAACATGTTCGATTGTGCCCAGTTTACTGAGTGATCCAAATGGCAGGCTCTCCGAGACCAACTGTTGTTACTTTCCACCCACTAACATTGTGTGTCTGCTATCAGTTAGCTCAATTTAAATGGATCTTTTAAAAAAAAAAAAAAAAAAAGGCTGTTAATTTTGTATAATGTTATTTTTTATAAATCGGTGTCACACAAATCAAATGCCTTATAGAAATCCAAGCAAAAAACCACAGTTACCTTTATCAACCACATTCAATCTTGTCAAAAAATGTGATTCTTTCACAAGACATTTTCCATGAAACCATGCTGATTGGCATTACTTATATTTTTGGCCTCTAATTCCTTATTAAAAAGAAAAGGAGTACTTGTGGCACCTTAGAGACTAACCAATTTATTTGAGCATAAGCTTTCGTGAGCTACAGCTCACTTCATCGGATGCATCCGATGAAGTGAGCTGTAGCTCACGAAAGCTTATGCTCAAATAAATTGGTTAGTCTCCAAGGTGCCACAAGTCCTCCTTTTCTTTTTCTTAAAGGAAAAAGTGTTATAAAAAAAATCCAAGGTGCCACAAGTACTCCTTTTCTTTTTGCGAACACAGACTAACACGGCTGTTACTCTGAAACCTCTAATTCCTTATTGGCACAGTTCAATATAAGCCCTTCTATTATTTTACCTGGGCTCAATATAAGACTTACCAGCCTGTAATTAGCTTGAGTTATTTTTTAAATGGAAAACAAAATATTGGCACAACACTGGCCTTCTTCCAGTCCTGTGAAATTTTACCAAGATCTATTAAAAATTAATGCCTGTGGTCTGGAATCAACTCCATTAAAACTTTTGAATGCAAGTTGTTGGGAGCTGCTAATTTTAGCATCAACTAACTTTAGTTAAGATGCTGTTTAATATCCTTCTTTGTTGCAGCTAGATACATAATTCAGCATTAGCCCAAATACAAAACAGAAATATGAATTGAACAATTCTGCCAGTGTCATTTCATAAGTCTCTGAAGGGTTGGTTCAGTAAAAAACAAACCAACCGTCTAAATTCATCCCTGGTGAATTCCCCTGAATCAAGAGAGTCACACAAGGACTCAATACATCCAGGCATATGCAATGGGAAAGTCAGACATATTTAAGCAATTGACAGTCAACAGCAAAAGATTCCTGGCTTTCAGAAGCCTCAGATTTGAATGGCATTCACAGCTGCCCTGGTTTAATGTTCTTTGGCCAATTCGACACAACTATCAGTATGAACTGGCTCTCTCTTCACACAACTCCCTCTTTTCAAACACATATCTTCTGAAGTTTCCTGGACTTTATATTGGTTTAGGATATGGCAAAATAAAAATAAGCCTAAAATCACTTGACATGCCCTACATGTCTTCAAACTCTATACATGGTGGGCAGGATGAGCTGGTATACAGCTCTGTGGGCTTGATTCCATAATTATCTGCTCAAGCGACTGTGATTAATTTTAATGGGACTATCCTGAGAGCAAGAAACTCCAGAGCATTCTAAGTGTGGAAGAATCTTGCCCTGTACAAATCTGACTGGTACCGTCACCTACTTATCGTCGCTGCACTTTGATCACCTGACATGCATTTACGTGTTCTGCTAGCTTTCCGCTCTCAAGCCACCTAGCACAGGCTTTTAGAGCTGACTTAACATTTCTTGTTCTTCCGCTGTGCTGCAACACACTAGAGGGGAAAACAGAATACTGTTTGCAGCCCTCCCTCTTTCAGCTGCTTTGTGCCCACTACTTAACTAGGAGGCCTAGGCACAATGCCCGAGGCTGCTAATACATCATTACTGTTGGGGCAGAACTGGGGGGGGAGGGGGGGGCAGTGTTATAAATCTTATAGCGGCCAAGTACAGCAAATATATTTCAGAGTAACAGCCATGTTAGTCTGTATCCGCAAAAAGAAAAGGAGTACTTGTGGCACCTTAGAGACTAACCAATTTATTTGAGCATAAGCTTTCGTGAGCTACAGCTCACTTCATCGGACGCATACTGTGGAAAGTACAGAAGATCTTTTTATACACACAAACCATGAAAAAATGGGTGTGTGTGTGTATAAAAAGATCTTCTGTACTTTCCACAGTATGCGTCCGATGAAGTGAGCTGCAGCTCACGAAAGCTTATGCTCAAATAAATTGGTTAGTCTCTAAGGTGCCACAAGTACTCCTTTTCTTTTAGCAAATATATTATAAAACAACAAGAGAGGCTACCGTCCTGGGTGCCAAGTCATGGCTCACCACAGAATTCCTATTTAAGAATCATCACAACCCCGTCCCTCTCGCCATCCAGGAGGGTTGCATGTGATTGCCAGACACAAAGGAAGAGCTGGAAAGTTTGCCTGCCTCGGGCACTGCGTGATTCCTGCCGTTAAAGGAGCCAGCCCTTGAGGCAGCCTTTCCGGGGGGTGGAAATAAGTTCTGCAGCCTAGGCCCCGCGGTTTCCCTTCTCGCCCGTCAGACCCTGAACACTGACCCACGCCTGTTGCAGAAGCGCCCGGAGATCCCGCGAAGGCGCGTACCCTGCGGGCGGGAAAGAGGCGGCTGTGACCAGCGTACTGCACGCTTTTCCCTCCTTCCCCTACGTGTCTGCCACCGCAGTGCTTACGCAGGCGGAGGGTCGCTGGGCACCGCGCGGCCCGGGAGGGAAAGGCGACCTCTGCCCCAAGAGGTTATAATTCAAGAGCCCTCGCCTGACAGCAAGCCACGTCCTCTGTCCCCCGCAGCAGACGCCCCGCGGGCAAGCGGCCCCCCGCCCGCCTTCCCCTGCTCACCGGCTGTCAGCACGGGCCCGCCGAGCGCTCTTCCAGGGGGTTACGCAGCAGCCCAATAGCCTCCGCTCCCGGCCGAGCTGAAGGGAAAGCAGGGAGGTCTGCTGACGAGGGGCGGCTCCCGGCAAGGCAGGCACCCACCCTTTTCTCGTCGCCTTCGTCTCCGCGGTGTGGAAGGGCGCCAGCCGGCTGCGGATGGGTGGGGCTCGTCTACGCGGACAATTTACAGCGCTGCGAAAAAACACGCCGGGGAGCGCTGCAAGTTTCTACGCTGTAATGCGCCATAGTAAACAGCGCCCCGGTGCTGGGAGCTAGGCCCCCCGCGGAGGTGGGTTTTTAGTTGCCAGTGTAGACTAGCTGCTCAATCCCCAGAGCTCAGCGGTGGCAATGATTAGCTGGGCGATAAGAGGGGGCCTGAGCATGAAATTCTGCAGGTGGGCAGCTGGAGGCTAGGCTAATGCCAGCTTCTTCGGGTGCTAATGTTATCTTGGTCCCTAAGGCATCTTGCACAGAGTCTTTTATGGGCCTGATTTGCTAGTAAGGCTATTTTTCCTCCCCTAGAGAAAAGGAATTCAAGCTCTTCCTTTCTGGAACCGCATCCTGCCGTGAGGAATAACAGTTTTGTAATTCCTGCTGTGGCAGGTTTCAGAGTAACAGCCGTGTTAGTCTGTATTCGCAAAAAGAAAAGGAGTACTTGTGGCACCTTAGAGACTAACCAATTTATTTGAGCATGAGCTTTCGTGAGCTACAGCTCACTTCATCGGATGTATACCGTGGAAACTGCAGCAGACTTTATATACACACAGAGATCATGAAACAATACCTCCTCCCACCCCACTGTCCTGCTGGTAATAGGTTATCTAAAGTGATCATCAGGTGGGCCATTTCCAGCACAAATCCAGGTTTTCTCACCCTCCACCCCCCCCACACACAAATTCACTCTCCTGCTGGTGCTAGCCCATCCAAAGTGACAACTCTTTACATAATCAAGTCGGGCTATTTCCTGCATAAATCCAGGTTTTCTCACATCCCCCCCCACCCCCATACACACACAAACTCACTCTCCTGCTGGTAATAGCTCATCTAAACTGACCACTCTCCAAGTTTAAATCCAAGTTAAACCAGAACATCTGGGGGGGGGGGGGTAGGAAAAAACAAGAGGAAACAGGCTACCTTGCATAAATTGGTTAGTCTCTAAGGTGCTACAAGTACTCCTTTTCTTTCTACTGTGGCAGTTGCTAAAAAGCGTTCCTTTCCCATTTGGCAGGGATCACAAGATTTGGACTAGATTTGGATTTCGCTATACTAAGGGTATGTCTACACTACGGAATAAGGTCGAATTTATAGAAGTCGTTTTTTTAGAAATCGGTTTTATATATTCGAGTGTGTGTGTCCCCACAGAAAATGCTCTAAGTGCATTAACTCGGCGGAGCGCTTCCACAGTACCGAGGCTAGAGTCGACTTCCGGAGCGTTGCACTGTGGGTGGCTATCCCACAGTTCCCGCAGTCTCCGCTGCCCATTGGAATTCTGGGTTGAGATCCCAATGCCTGATGGGGCTAAAACATTGTCGCGGGTGGTTCTGGGTACATATCGTCAGGCTCCCGTTCCCTCCCTCCCTCCGTGAAAGCAAGGGCAGACAATCATTTCGCGCCTTTTTTCCTGAGTTACCTGTGCAGACGCCATACCACGGCAAGCATGGAGCCCGCTCAGGTAACCGTCACCCTATGTCTCCTGGGTGCTGGCAGACGTGGTACGGCTTTGCTGCACAGTAGCGGCAACCCATTGCCTTCTGGCAGCAGACGGTGCAATTCGACTGGTAGCCATCCTCGTCGTGTCCAAGGTGCTCCTGGCCACGTGGGCCGGGAGCGCCTGGGCAGACATGGGCGCAGGGACTAAATTTGGATAGACTTGACCAGGTCATTCTCTTTAGTCCTGCAGTCAGTCCTATTGAACCATCTTATGGTGAGCGGGCAGGCGATACGGACTGCTAGCAGTCGTACTGTACCATCTTCTGCCAGGCAGGCAAGAGATGAGGATGGCTAGCAGTCGTACTGTACCATCTTCTGCCGAGCAGCCATGAGATGTGGATGGCATGCAGTCCTTCTGCACCGTCTGCTGCCAGCCAAAGATGTAAAAGATAGATGGAGTGGGTCAAAACAAGAAATAGACCAGATTTGTTTTGTACTCATTTGCCTCCTCCCCTGTCTAGGGGACTCATTCCTCTAGGTCACACTGCAGTCACTCACAGAGAAGGTGCAGCGAGGTAAATCTAGCCATGTATCAATCAGAGGCCAGGCTAACCTCCTTGTTCCAATAAGAACGGTAACTTAGGTGCACCATTTCTTATTGGAACCCTCCGTGAAGTCCTGCCTGAAATACTCCTTGATGTACAGGCACCCCCTTTGTTGATTTTAGCTCCCTGAAGCCAACCCTGTAAGCCGTGTCGTCAGTCGCCCCTCCCTCCGTCAGAGCAACGGCAGACAATCGTTCCGCGCCTTTTTTCTGTGCGGACGCCATACCAAGGCAAGCATGGAGGCCGCTCAGCTCACTTTGGCAATTAGGAGCACATTAAACACCACACGCATTATCCAGCAGTATATGCAGCACCAGAACCTGGCAAAGCGATACCGGGCGAGGAGGCGACGTCAGCGCGGTCCCGTGAGTGATCAGGACATGGACACAGATTTCTCTGAAAGCATGGGCCCTGCCAATGCATGCATCATGGTGCTAATGGGGCAGGTTCATGCTGTGGAACGCCGATTCTGGGCTCGGGAAACAAGCACAGACTGGTGGGACCGCATAGTGTTGCAGGTCTGGGACGATTCCCAGTGGCTGTGAAACTTTCACATGCGTAAGGGCACTTTCAAGGAACTTTGTGACTTGCTTTCCCCTGCCCTGAGGCGCATGAATACCAAGATGAGAGCAGCCCTCACAGTTGAGAAGTGAGTGGCGATAGCCCTGTGGAAGCTTGCAATGCCAGACAGCTACCGGTCAGTTGGGAATCAATTTGGAGTGGGCAAATCTACTGTGGGGGCTGCTGTGATGCAAGTAGCCCACGCAATCAAAGATCTGCTGATATCAAGGGTAGTGACTTTGGGAAATGTGCAGGTCATAATGGATGGCTTTGCTGCAATGGGATTCCCTAACTGTGGTGGGGCTATAGATGGAACCCATATCCCTATCTTGGCACCGGAGCACCAAGCCGCCGAGTACATAAACCGCAAGGGGTACTTTTCGATAGTGCTGCAAGCTCTGGTGGATCACAAGGGACGTTTCACCAACATCAACGTGGGATGGCCGGGAAAGGTGCATGATGCTCGCATCTTCAGGAACTCTGGTCTGTTTCAAAAGCTGCAGGAAGGGACTTTATTCCGAGACCAGAAAATAACTGTTGGGGATGTTGAAATGCCTATATGTATCCTTGGGGACCCAGCCTACCCCTTAATGCCATGGCTCATGAAGCCATACACAGGCAGCCTGGACAGTAGTCAGGAGCTGTTCAACTACAGGCTGAGCAAGTGCAGAATGGTGGTAGAATGTGCATTTGGACGTTTAAAGGCGCGCTGGCGCAGTTTACTGACTCGCTTAGACCTCCGCGAAACCAATATTCCCACTGTTATTACTCCTTGCTGTGTGCTCCACAATATCTGTGAGAGTAAGGGGGAGACGTTTATGGCGGGGTGGGAGGTTGAGGCAAATCGCCTGGCTGCTGGTTACGCGCAGCCAGACACCAGGGCGGTTAGAAGAGCACAGGAGGGCGCGGTACGCATCAGAGAAGCTTTGAAAACCAGTTTCATGACTGGCCAGGCTACGGTGTGAAAGTTCTGTTTGTTTCTCCTTGGTGAAACCCCCCGCCCCTTGGTTCACTCTACTTCCCTGTAAGCTAACCACCCGCCCCTCCTCCCTTCAATCACCGCTTGCAGAGGCAATAAAGTCATTGTTGCTTCACATTCATGCATTCTTTATTCATTCATCACACAAATAGGGGGATGACTACCAAGGTAGCCCAGGAGGGGTGGTGGAGGAGGGAAGGAAAATGCCACACAGCACTTTAAGCACAGCACTTTAAAAGTTTACAACTTTAAAATTTATTGAATGACAGCCTTCTTTTTTTTGGGCAATCCTCTGTGGTGGAGTGGCTGGTTGGCCGGAGGCCCCCCCCACCGCGTTCTTGGGCGTCTGGGTGTGGAGGCTATGGAACTTGGGGAGGAGGGCGGTTGGTTACAGAGGGGCTGCAGTGGCAGTTTGTGCTCCAGCTGCCTTTGCTGCAGCTCAACCATACACTGGAGCATACTGGTTTGGTCCTGCAGCAGCCTCAGCATTGAATCCTGCCTCCTCTCATCACGCTGCCGCCACATTTGAGCTTCAGACCTCTCTTCAGCCCGCCACTTACTCTCTTCAGCCCGCCACTTACTCTCTTCAGCCCGCCACCTCTCCTCCCGGTCATTTTGTGCTTTCCTGCACTCTGACATTATTTGCCTCCACGCATTCGTCTGTGCTCTGTCAGTGTGGGAGGACAGCATGAGCTCGGAGAACATTTCATCGCGAGTGCGTTTTTTTTTTCTTTCTAAGCTTCACTAGCCTCTGGGAAGGAGAAGATCCTGTGATCATTGAAACACATGCAGCTGGTGGAGAAAAAAAAAGGGACAGCGGTATTTAAAAAGACACATTTTATAAAACAGTGGCTACACTCTTTCAGGGTAAACCTTGCTGTTAACATTACATACATAGCACATGTGCTTTCGTTACAAGGTCGCATTTTGCCTCCTCCCACCGCGTGACTACCCCCTCAACCTTCCCCCCTCCCTGTGGCTAACAGCGGGGAACATTTCTGTTTAGCCACAGGCAAACAGCCCAGCAGGAATGGGCTCCTCTGAGTGTCCCCTGAAGAAAAGCACTCTATTTCAACCAGGCGACCATGAATTATATCTCACTCTCCTGAGGATAACACAGAGAGATAAAGAACGGATGTTGTTTGAATGCCAGCAAACATACACTGCAATGCTTTGTTCTGCAATGATTCCCGAGTACGTGTTACTGGCCTGGAGTGGTAAAGTGTCCTACCATGAAGGATGCAATAAGGCTGCCCTCCCCAGAAACCTTTTGCAAAGGCTTTAGGACTACATCTAGGAGAACCGCAAATGCCAGGGCAAAGTAATCCTTTCACATGCTTGCTTTTAAACCATGTATAGTATTTTAAAAGGTACACTCACCAGAGGTCCCTTCTCCGCCTGCTGGGTCCAGGAGGCAGCCTTGGGTGGGTTCGGGGGGTACTGGCTCCAGGTCTAGGGTGAAAAACAGTTCCTGGCTGTCGGGAAAACCGGTTTCTCCGCTTGCTTGCTGTGAGCTATCTACAACCTCATCATCATCATCATCTTCTTCGTCCCCAAAACCTGCTTCCGTATTGCCTCCATCTCCATTGAAGGAGTCAAACAACACGGCTGGGGTAGTGGTGGCTGAACCCCCTAAAATGGCATGCAGCTCATCATAGAAGCGGCATGTTTGGGGCTCTGACCCAGAGCAGCTGTTCGCCTCTCTGGTTTTCTGGTAGGCTTGCCTCAGCTCCTTCAGTTTCACGCGGCACTGCTTCGGGTCCCTGTTATGGCCTCTGTCCTTCATGCCCTGGGAGATTTTGACAAAGGTTTTGGCATTTCGAAAACTGGAACGGAGTTCTGATAGCACGGATTCCTCTCCCCAAACAGCGATCAGATCCCGTACCTCCCGTTCGGTCCATGCTGGAGCTCTTTTGCGATTCTGGGACTCCATCATGGTCACCTGTGCTGATGAGCTCTGCATGGTCACCTGCAGCTTGCCACGCTGGCCAAACAGGAAATGAGATTCAAAAGTTCGCGGTTCTTTTCCTGTCTACCTGGCCAGTGCATCTGAGTTGAGAGTGCTGTCCAGAGCAGTCATAATGGAGCACTCTGGGATAGCTCCCGGAGGCCAATACCATCGAATTGTGTCCACAGTACCCCAAATTCGAGCCGGCAACGTCGATTTAAGCGCTAATCCACTTGTCAGGGGTGGAGTAAGGAAATCGATTTTAAGAGCCCTTTAAGTCAAAATAAAGGGCTTCATTGTGTGGACGGGTGCAGGTTTACATCGATTTAACGCTGCTAAATTCGACCTAAAGTCCTAGTGTAGACCAGGGCTAAGAATGGAAGTTGAGGGTGGAGACAATTGTATATGCTCCAGGGACCCTGCTTGTGATGGAGAAGGAACATCATTTAAAATTTAAGCATTTATCAAACGGATTTGCATTCTCTCTGAAAGCAGCAAGAGAGATAATTCAAGTAGACCCACCCTTATTGTGGAAGTAGAAGCTAAGAGAGTAGAGAAAGCGATAATAAAACAAAACAAGGGTGAGGCTAGGCAAGGTTGTGAACCTTTCTACCAGACTACTGTGCCCCTTGCGGGAAAATATTTGTCTTGTGTACCCCCAAGTTTCACCTCATTTAAAAACTACTTACATACAAAATCAGACCTAAAAAGTATAAAAGTGTCACAGCACACTATTACTGAAAAATTGCTTACTTTCTCGTTTTGTCTGTATGAAAATGAAGTTTGTACTGACTTCACTAGTGCTTTTTTTGTAGCCTGTTGTAAAACTAGGCAAATATCTAGCTGAGTTGTACCCCCTAGAGCAGTGCTTCTCAAGCTGTCTGATGTAGGGGACCGGCAATTTCTTTTTCCAATGTGCACACAGGCCGGCAGCCGAAGGCTTGCGGACTGGCACCAGTCTGCGGACCACCACTTTGAGTGGAACTGCCCAAAAAGACCTCTGTGTACCCCCAGGGGTACACATACTCCTGGTTGATACCCGCTGGGCTAGAGCCTTTGGAAATGGAGTTAGATAGAGTAAAGATTTTTGCAAAAAGAAATCTAGCCAAGTGTAAATAAAAGTGGGAGAACAAATATGCAGAACCAAAAGAGAGCTCTGAAATGAAGACAGGCAGGATTGTTGTAAGATAAATGTAACCCTTCTGCCCGTCAGAGTTGGCAGCAACAAGGGCTGGGTTCAGTATCTAGGGGTTCCATTCCACTACACAATGCAAAACTGGCTCGAGCTCCCACCCAGTGACCTGGGACAACTATATACCACCCCTACTGGGCGCCTCCAAGAGGCAATACTTCCCCTCTCGCAAGCACAGAGTCTGAGTGTAGCAAAAGCCTTTTAATAACAGAGAGAAACAATGTGGCATTATGTTGGCTTTGGTCTAGCACTTCTGTTCTGCCTGGCTGCCCTGTCGTGGCCCATCTCTTAAGGGGTGCCTACCAATTCCCCCACAGGGAGCAAAAGGTTTCTATGCACCGTCTTTATTTGCCCTGGACCCTCTTCAGGTTTGATCTTGTAGACCGGCAAATCTCCCAGTTTTTCCATCACCAGGTAAGGTATTGCCTTCCATGTGTCAGCTATTTTGTGTTTGCCAGCAATACCCAAATTTTGCAGCAGGACTCTGTCTCCCGGCTGGAGCGCCTGCTAACGCACTCTAGCATCATATCGATGTTTGTTGAGGTCTGCGTTCTTCCAAGCCGCAGAGGTAGCTAAGTGATAAGCATCCCGCAGCTTTTCTCTTAGTCAGGATACATATTGCTGATTAGTTTCATAGCTATCGCCATCCTCTGATACACCAAAGCACAAGTCTATGGGTAATCTTGGTTCTCGCCCAAACATCAAGAAATATGGGGTGACTCCCGTAGCATCGTTCTTTGTGGCATTGTAGGCATGCACCAGAAATGCGACATGTTGGCTCCAGGTTGCCTTCTGCTCCGGTCGCAAAGTTCCCAACGTATCTAATAGGGTTCGGTTGAACCTCTCTGCTTGAGGATCACCTTGCAGGTGATAAGGCGTTGTCCTAGACTTTTTAATTCCTGCTATCTTCAGCACCTCCTTCAGAAGGTGACTCTCAAAATCCTGCCCCTGATCAGAGTGTATCCGAGCTGGGAATCCATAGACTGAGAAATATTTGTCCCACAATACTCAAGCGACGGTGGTGGCCCTCTGATCACGTGTGGGATATGCCTGCGCATACCGTGTAAAATGATCAGTCACTACTAGAATGTTCCCAACATTCCTCTTGTCTACCTCTAAAGACAAGAAATCAATGCATACCAGTTCCAAAGGTTTGTTGCTGGTGATGTTCTTGAGATATGCAGCCCTCGTGGGCAGAGTTTTCCTTTGAACACATCGAGCGCAAGTCTCACATTTCCTGCGAACATCTTCAGCCATCCGGGCCAATAGAACCTACTACGAATAAGTTCCAGGGTCCTCTCCATCCCTAAATGTCCAAAGTCATCATGCAGGGCCCTCATGGCCAGGGCTCTGTACTCTTTTGGCAGCACTAGTTGTGCTCGTTGCTTTTGAAAAAGGGTCGGTGGTCATTCGGTGTAGCACTCCCTGAATCAGTTTTAGTTTGGTCCATTCTCTCAATAGTAGTTTACCCTCTGGGTTAGGTGGGACAACCGCAGCTGGGTTTCGCCCCTCCCTTTTGGCAAGTAGTGTATCACGAATGTCAATATCTTGCAGCTGGGCTTCTTGCCAGTCAGCCGCATTGAGCATGGGCAAGGGAGATTGGTCCAATGCAATATAGTTCACTGAAGCAGAAGGCACGCATTCAGGGGGCAGGCCCAAAGCTTCTGCAACACATCCATGAAGGCTCTCACGGGCCTCTGGCTCTCGGCGACTCACACTGCAAATAGCTCTTGCTCCATCTGTGGGTATCACAGCAACTTCTGGTGCCTGTGGACGCCTGGACAATGCATCTGCATCTACATTGCTTCTCCCTGATCGATATTGAATGCTGAACTCATAGCTAGCCAAGGCGGCCACCCATCTCTGCCCTGTAGCATCCAGCTTAGCACTTGTTAACACATAAGTCAGTGGATTGTTGTCTGTCCACACCTGGAACTGAGCACCATACAAGTAGTCTCGAAATTTCTCAGTGATGGCCCATTTCAAGGCCAAGAATTCCAGCTTGTGGGTGGGATAGCGAGTTTCACTATCAGACAATCCTCAGCTGGCAAAGGCTACAGGTTTACGTTTGCCTTCCACTTCCTGGTACAGGACTGCTCCCAGACCCTCCAAACTGGCATCAGTATGCAGGATAAACAGTTTGCTTGGGTCAGCAAAGACTAGGACTGGAGCATGAGTTAGGCAAGTAATGATTTCTCGGAAAGCCCTTTCACATCTCTCATTCCACCGTGGCCCAAATGGTTCGAAGGGGCCATAGTGTCTCTGCATAGGAGGCTTTGGGGACCTCCCCTTATTCTTCGTCTTAGATTTGTTCTTGCTGGCCTGGTATCCCCTGGTAAGATCATTCAGAGGCTTTACAATCAGCATAGTTTTTCACAAATCTGCGGTAGTAGCCACTAAATCCAAGAAAGGTCTTGAGTTCTCTGTAGTTACTTGGACATGGCCATGTAGTGAGTGCTTCTATTTTATCGGGATCAGTACTCACACCCTCTTGGGACACGATGTGACCCACTTACTTCACTGAGGTTCTGCAGAACTGGCATTTGTCAATTGAAAGCTTCAGACAATAATCCTCCAACCTATCAAGCTCTTTAAGAAGTCTTTCTTCATGCTCCTCTAAGGTTCTTCCAAACACAATCAGGTCGTCCAAATAAACTAACACTAACAGTAAATTCATATCTCCCACAACTTTCTCCATGAGACGTTGAAATGTGGCAGGTGCTCCAGAAATCCCTTGGGGGATACGTTCGAACTGATAAAACCCTAATGGGCAGATGAAGGCTGTCTTCTCCTTATCTTCTTCTCCCAGAGGGATCTGGTAGTATCCACTTCGAAGATCCAACACAGAGAACCACTGGCTTCCCAGCAAACAGTCTAAGGCATCTTGGACTCGAGGCATAGTGTACTGGTCAACCACAGTACCGGCTGTTTAGGGTGTGGAGTCAATACACATTCAGATTTTCCCATTCTTTTTACGGACCACCACAATGGGTGAGGCATATGTGCTGCGGGACTCTGTAATGATGCCAGCTCCTGAAGATGATGTCACACCAATCTGCCATCTCAGAAAGAGCAATCTTCCTAGATCTCTCCCTGAAAGGTCGAGAGTCATGTAGTCTGATATTGTGCTCTACTCCTTTTGCACATCCCACATCCCACTCATGCAGTGAGAACACTTTGGATCTTTCACAAAGTTTCTTCCTCAGGCGATCTTTCCACTCCTCGGACTCTGGTGAATCTCCAAAGTCAAACTTTGCTGGGTCTATTGTCGGAACTTGAGTTTCACACTGGGGTTTTACAATCGACTCAAGCTCAAAGAGGTCTGCTATCTTTTGACCTTGCTTCACAACAACATCATGACTCATTTCGTTAGCAATCAGTATAGTCACCCTTTCTTGAGCTTCAGTAGGTAGGGTTATGACTCCACTGGGGACCAGCACTCCTTCAGGGAGCTCTCCTCCCATCAGCTGCTCTATCATTGCTAACATCCCTTTACTGCCTTTCAGCCAGGTACTCATGACAAGCACTTCTTGCTCTGTCCTTGCAGGCACTACTAAGGGGGTCGTGCCCGCATACTTCAGTGCCCCAATCGGTAGCTCAGATGTGTCTCTTTTAGTGCTCTCAATTTTCCTGTAGGCTTCAGCACAAAGCGTATGGGTCATCAGGGTATTCAGGTATTGGTCCCCAGCCTGCCTTCTGCGAATAATCCGCGAGTACCTTGAAGAGACTGGAGTTGGTCCCTATCAGCACAGATACATCAGAGGTCCCTTTAGGGTCAGGGCATATTAAGGCTGCTGTGTCTACCTCTTCTCTTACCCCAGCAACCTCCTCTGGGAATTCCAGGTGCACTATGACATACCCTTGGTAGGGGTATTCATCCATGCCGAGGCCACACAGACCAGGGCCAGTTAGTGGCTGTATAGACAGGTGCCTGAGCATCTGTTGGTAGAATGACTGAAATATAATAGTCACTTGAGATGCAGTGTCAAGCACTGCTTTACACTCCACCCCTTCAATCCTCACCATGACCTTTGCTCGAGGCCCTATCAGTCCTGTGGGGATCACAGCTGGACAGTCTTTTCTGGGGGAATCTTCAAATCCTGCAGGCCTGGGTGGTCCCCGTCCCCAGACCCTCTGGCAGCTCCCGGATCTCTCCCAACTGATCCTCAGCTTTCCATACACTAAGGAGGGGTTTTCTTCATTACGGCACTTGGCAGCACTGTGTCCATCCTGACCACATCTGTAGCAGAAGAATTGTCCTTTCCCCCTTCACCTGGGTGGGATGGTAGCTCTAAGTGCGGGCTTCTCAATCGCCACAGTTTGAGGCTCCTTATTCCTGGAAGTCTTAACTAGGTCAGTGGTGCTTTGCAGCTCAGATATCTGTTCCGTCAGGACCCGCATTTGTTGGGCAAGTTCCTCTCTGGTGCTTGCCATCAGTACACTGGCTGTTTGCAGTGTTGTTGTGCTGGCTGGCTCCGATGTTTGGGCTTCCCAAAACTCACTGGCAGCCTGCCTTTCTTCCTCCTCTCTGACCTCTTTTATCAGCTGGGAGTAACTTGGGGGATGTTCCTGTCGTTCTCTTAGCTGGAGATGAAGTAGAATCGGGTTCTGTTACTGAGTTCCTCTTACAATTTGAGCCAGTCTGGTCTGATCCATCTGCTCAGCAGTCACTGCTCCCCTCATGACAGCTCTCTGAAGCAGTCTCTCCAGTCTCTGTATGTAGGCTGAAGCCTTCTCGCCCCTTTGCTGTCGGGAATTAAGGAACTTACAGTAGCTGTCTTCAGGGCCCTCTACGCTCCCAAAGGTGTGTTCAAGGGCCTCTAGGCAGTCCTTCACACTGCCCCAGGGTCAATGAGCTTCAGGGTGCAAATCACATCTAATGCTGGGCCTCCAAGGCTCTCTATTAGGCATCTTCGCTTTTCTGCATCTGGTACGGCCCACTTTTGCAGCATTTCAGTGGTATGCTCTAACCAGGGTTCAAACTCCTCTTCCCCAGCAAATAACCTTAACTTACGACAAGAGTTGTTACCAAAATAAAATATAAGCATGCACTCCAAACTCTCAACCTATTAGACTGGGCAGCAACTAGATTAAGCAGTTTTTCTCACCCCACTGGATATTGTAGTCCTTAATACACAGGTTTGTTGCTTAAAGCTGGGCCAATCTCCTGTGTTGCAGTCTTGTCTTCTTCTCAGGGTCTTGGTTGCTTGAAGCATGGGTATCTGACATTCTGTACCTTGGGGTCCAATATGTGTCCACTCTGCCTGTTTTATACTCTCAGTCCATGTGCTTGTAGAACACAAGTCCAGGCATGTCTGGGGGGCATTGCTGAGTCTCTCCAAGCAAGGCTAAGCAATTCCCCTGGTGTAGCCTCATGCAGGTGAGTCATTGAATTGTAGCTCCCTTGCTGGACAATGGCCGTTGATGGGCTATTTGACACCCCGCCCAGGCATTGGTTACTTTCCTTGATGTTGCCTCTGGGGAGCTAATATCTGGCTGCTTCCCCAACTTACAGCATGCTTTAGTGACCACCATACAACACAATTTTCATAACTTCATATGTATTAATGATATACATATGGATAGAGAAATTACTTTGAGCAGATCATAACCTTTCCCCTGATACCTTAAAAGGCGTGCTTTACATGTGAGAGCACGATTATATGAATATGAAGAATAGGGGGGTTGTAATACACTCCCCCAAGGTACAGAATGTCACAGCAACCCAGTATCTACCGCAAAGAAAATGTAGAAATAACAGTAATCGCACAAACCCTAACCCTGCCCCTTGCCCCACCCCTTCTCTGAGGCCCGGCCTCTGCCCCGCCCATTCTCCAAGGCCCCACCCTGCTCACTCCATCCTCCCTCCCTCTGTCACTCGCTCTCCCTCACCCTGGACTCTAGGCACTAGGTTGCACTACCCTGCTTGCGAGGGTGATTGTATAGACTCCAGCCACTAGGCCACACTACCCTGTGAGAGGAATTGTATATACTCTGGCCATTAGGCCACACTGCTCCAATGCGGGGAGCGATTTATATGGACCCTGGCCATTGGGCCACACTGCCCTGATGCTTGGGGTGAGTTACATGGACTCCGGCCACTAGGCCGCACTACCCCAACCAAGGAGTGATTGTGTGGAGGGAGGCCATTAGGCCGCAGCTGGCCGCCCACAGAAGAGATGGGCGCGTGAACTTGTGAGTGGCAAGGTTCTGACACCCCATCCCACCCCTGCCACAAAGGAACGGTGTGGTGCCAGGCCCGCCACGGGGATATGATAGAGGTCTATAAAATCATGACTGGTGTGGAGAAAGTAAATAAGGAAGGGTTATTTACTCCTCATAACACAAGAATTAGGGGTCATCAAATGAAATTAATAGGCAGCAGATTTAAACAAACAAAAGGAAGTATTTCTTCACACAAATGTACAGTCAGCCGGTGGAACTCTTTGCCAAAGGATGTTATGAAGAGTTCAAAACAGAACTAGATAAGTTCCTGGAGGATAGATCCATCAATGGCTATTAGCTAGGATGGGCAGGAATGCAAAACCATGCTCTGAAGTGTCCCTAGCCTCTGTTCGCCAGAAACTGGGAATGGGCGACAGGAATGGATCTCATGATGATTACCTGTTCTTTTCATTCCCTCTAAAGCCCCTGGCATTGACCACTGTTGGAAGACAGGATGCTGGGCTAGATGGACCATTGGTCTGACCCAGTATGGCTGTTCTTAAATGGCTCTAAGGCCAGATGGTTCAAATGGGGAAGTGTGCGGTGTATGTGGCTATATTACACTTCAGTTTTTGTGTGGTATACTTTTAAATGTAAAATGAATCCCTGTCTGTGTTGTGAGGCAGTGCAAAATGGCTATCACACAGCAAAAGCTTCCTCTCATGGAGATCCTGGCAGCCACATCCAGGTCACCAGGTTCAGCCAAATTCAGAGAGACATGAAGATATAAACATGAAGCGGGATTATATTGTAGGGCTTACCTGAGGGTTAATTTACATAAACAACCCAGATCCACAGTAGACACTATACCAACTGTTGTGTCAGCCCAAAGTAGACTGCATACAGTGTCTCTAAACCTCTGAGTAGTTCAGGCCAGAGCCCAATAGACAGAGGATCTCTCAGCCCAGGCAGATTTTGCTCCTCCCTGGAACCAAGGGCTCCTTCTGTAGCCCAAACTATTGCATTTTAAAGACCTGCTTTGCTAATGAGGCCCAGCTGTCAGTTCCTGCCTTCAGACCTGATTTTGGGGGTACAGAGCAAGAATAAGAAACCAAGTATTTTTTCTCCTTCATTAAGAAAGTAAGTAACTCCTTCCTCTCGGAGGGGAGAAGGTGCACCTCACAGGGCAGAAGGTGGAATTCCTACTATGGGAGTTAATAAGAGCATTCCTGTTTCCACTGGTCTGGCATCACAAGATTTGAACTAGAATCCCTTCTATTTGGCTTTTCTTTGCTGGGAGCAGACAATGCACTTAAAGCAGATCATTTCTGCTCCAGGCACTGTGCTTATTAAGGGTGAGGAAAACTGTTTACATTTTAAAAAGTTATATCATGGAATTACATTCACTCTGGAAGCAGGAAGATAATAAAAATCAAGTGAGAGTAGGGCCTTGGAACAGAGGCTGATGATGCCATGACTTTTCTAAATGGAAATCCAGCCACATTTCCTCCTTTTGGAGCAAAAAAATTATGCAGAAGCAGAAAACAGCTGTAAGAAGGATGAAAGGCAGGGTTGTTCCAAGAGAAGCAAGATAATTAGAGGCTTTATGGCATATTTTATAGATATCATCTAAATTTCCTTGAAGTCCAATATGCTCCTTGTATTGCTAAATGGGAACTAATGAAATGACTGCTAATTAACACAATAGCAACAATTAACAAAAAGTGATGTTACCTGAATCAGTATGATTTGAAACCAGAGTATTCAGTATCAAAGAGGAAAAAATTAGATTAGGAACTAATAAAGAAGAGAGGGAGTATCTGGTTCAGAAAGTCAATGATTCATATAATGTAGGGATGAAAAACACCCATGAATCATCTAGTGTGTTGTCTCTTTCATGGTAGTATTGTTCCCTACTGTAAATTGTTAGTTTACCCAGACAAAAGGGTTAGTCTGAAGCCTGAAATTAGATTAGTAACCCTCATCATTTCCTAATGAAGTGGCCCTTTCCCAGCACAGCTAACAGCTCTGGAAACACTAATTGATTGTATGTAGCCTCCACTCCCAGATAGACTGCCTTGTGAATTACTTAAGGTTTCTCATTTCCCAACATAGGATTCTTTCCTAACTGTAACAAGCATTCTGGTAAATAACCATACTTATCTCAGAGTTTTGTTTATTTTTGTCCTTTTTTAGTAATCAAAAATCACCATCATCACTCACGTTCTGAGTGATCAGATAAATTCCAGAATATCTTAATAGCTGGAATCATTTTGATCAAATGAAACTAAAACCAAACTGTTCTATGTTCTACAGGGAATAATATGGTGTCTTCATCTACCTATAGTTATGGCAGCAAAGCAGAAGTATACTGGTCACCATGGGAGACTCTGGATACCACAGACCAAGGATCTCAGGAATAGAAATGTCTTTGGTAATTGACTCCCCTCTTCCCCAAGGCAAGTAGGATAGTACACCCCTAAGGAAGCAGGGGAAGATTTGATATTACCGAGTACAGATTAAGAGGGAACCCAAATATAGTTAAAGCACCAAGGTCTATCCCCATCACTTAGTGATCCAGTACAATAGGCAGCAAAATCAAGGCTGTGTCAAAAGCCTTTTTTCCATGTACAGAAAGAGCATTTTTCATGCAATATAGTATATGTTTTATTAGCGGCAATAGTAATAAAATATTGGCAGTTATAAATGTTGCACAAAGAAGGTCTACAAGTCTATTTCTGAAACATCCACATTTGGAAGCCCAAAGAGTTAGTTGCATTTGCTGAATCTGTTTCCAAGCAGAAACTAATTAAAGCATATCCATACTGGAAATTTTGCTAGGTGTGCCCTTTTACACTCAACTGTTTTTTAGACAAAAATATCAGGCTAAGGCCAGAAAGTTGCATACAACTCTGAATATACAAAGTTTTCTGTGCAAAGGACCTGCTCAGCTCAAATCTTTATTATGAAAGCCACCATAAGCAGAATATAAAATATACACAAGATGCTGTAGCAGCAACTACATGTACCTGCATGCTCATAGAACTCTATAGAAAGGCAGGGCATTCCTTACTTAAAATGCACCCTCAATTTAATTTTTACTGGCTTCATAATTCATTTGCAAAACATAGCTAAACATATTTCAGCAAGAACTAGGATTTCAACTATATTAATAAGATCATAAGAAATTTTACTTCTAAACAACAGCAGGAGAATTCACTGGCTGAAGGATAATAAAACATATTGGAGAAGAGAGAAAAACATAATTGCAAATTCATAGAACATCAAGAAATTACAATTTTCTAGCATTTAATATGTATTTTTCCATGTTTTTTCCATATACAGCTTTTTCTAAAAGATGGTATTTTCCTCCAAATTTGGCATCACAGAATGTTCTACCTCTCTCTGACTGATAACACACAATGTGCCCCTTTTTCCAGACACCTGCTGACAGTAATTTATCCGAGAGAGAGCACTTTGTGAAGCAGGATTTATAAATCAGAGGGCAACACTCCACCACCCCATAGTTAGAGAACTGGGAAAATATTTAGCAATACCAACAGAAAAAAAAAATGTTTATCTTTTTATCTCCAGATTAAAAGCAGAGCATCCAGATCATGGTCATCACAGTCGCAATGCTGAAGGTTGTTTTACTAACCACTGTGACTGGACTCTTGTTGCAAAAGTCCTTTTGACAGCAGTGGAAATCAAAGTTGTCAGCACCAAAATCATCAGCAATCTCATTCATGTTGCATCGGGAGTGTTTCCAGCAGGCATAGGTTTTCAAATCAGCTTTTTTATAAAAAAAAAAAAAAAAGTAAAAAAGAGAGTTAGAAGCAGAATACCATACTGTCTGTTTCTCTGTAGAAAGAAGCAGAATCACTGCCCTGGTCTGAACATGCCCAGTTCTTGTCATTCAAACTACTTTCAACGTGTTCAAGCATTCTTCTCTGAACACACACTATCAACATGCTGGTGGGAACACAATATGTGAGGCGATGACATGTGTGTCGTCAGCTCAGTATTAAATTGAGATATAACTCAAGTATTCCCTCTAACTTAATGTCTACACACAAATATTGAGCTCAACTGAAATAGTGCTTTAAACTCGAGCTAGTTGGCCCATCAGGGATTTGGTTTGAATCTCAAGTGTTACTGTTTCTCAAGCTAATAATGCAGTGGGGATGCAGTTATGGCCAACAGCTTGAGTTAGCACAACTCATAAGCTACACAGAGTGATTGGGTTAGCAGCTGAAGTGTTCATTCCAGGTTTCTCTTTGAAAGAACTATTCATTGCTGGATAATGCCCAGTTTGTGCTCAGTTCTCATCACAGAGTCTACAGTTCAATGAAAACACTACATAGAATAGTCTCCTTTTCTAGTTGTGCCAGTGAAGTTTCCTTCATGCTCATGGATTCACGAGCTTGCAGCTTCAATACATTTTGAAAGTGACAGAACTGGGGGCATTTAAAGATTCCCCATTATCACAAGACACCATAGTCAGTCCCTATTTTGGAAATGAAGAATGAAATGGGGGTGAGGAAGAGGGAGTGTGTGTGGTGGAATCTAAAGATAGTAGAAACATATTTAAGTTTGGCAGTCATTTATT